AAGCGCAGAGGCCGCGGGCGCTCCGGGGCCAGCGGTGCCTTCGGCTCGGGCCATGGCGCCCGGCGCCGGGGGCGCGAGGAGCGGCTCATCTAGTCAGCCCCCCCACCCCGCCACCGCCACCAGACACCACCATCGCTGTGTAGTGTGGATTTTTATTCGTGTTCGTGTTTGTGTGTGGACACATTTTCCTTTTCGGTTGCTCTGTCCTTTGGTTCGTGCTCGCCTCGCTTTTTCCACACTCCTGCTCTCTGGCTCTCTGTGTCTCTCTCTCTTTCGAAAATTTTCCTAAGTCCGGGCGCGCGCTCCCTCCCCTTCCGCCCACCCCGGCCCCTCGGCGGCGCCCGCGGGAGGGGGAGGCCGCGGGGGCGCCGGGCGACGCGGCCCGGGAGGTGGAGCGTTGGCGTCGTGCGAGGGGTCGTCACTGGCGCGGAGACGCCCCCTCTCCCCCCTCGGCCCGGCCCGGCTGCGGCCCGAGCCCGGGGTGTGGGGGGCGTCTCCCCGGCCCGTCCCGTCCACCGCCGGGCGCGGGCGGAGGGACCCCCTCCCCAGGCTCCCGGGGGGCCGCCTCCCTCCGCCGGCTCCCGCCCTCCCTACCGCCGCCGCCGCCGCCGCGGCCGCTCCTCGGCCCTCCTCCTCCTCCTCCTCCTTCCACCCCCCTCGCCGCCGCCGCCTCCTCCTCCTCCCCCCGCCTCCCCCCGCCCGCCGCGGCGCTTTTGGCTCGGGGTGGCGGCGGGGGCCCGGGCCGAGGCAATAAGAGCGGCGGCGGCGGCAGCGGCGGCAGCAGCTCCCGCAGCTCCTGCTCTGGTCCGCCTCGGCCCGGCGGCGGCCATCAGCCCCCTCGGCCTCGGCTCGAGGGGCGGGGAGCTGCGCGCGCCCCTCGGTCCAACCGACACCACCCTTCCCTTCGCGCCCGTCCGCGCGCCCCGCGGCCCGCGGCCCGCGCCCCGTAGTCCGCCCCGCGCGCTCCTCGCCAGGGAGCCGAGTCCGCGCCCGGCCCGCCCGCCCGGCGCTGTCCCGGCCCTCCCGGCCCGCGTGAGGCCGCCCGCGCCCGCCGCCGCAGCCCGGCCGCGCCCCGCCGCCGCCGCCGCCGCCGCCGCCGCCATGGGCTGTCTCGGGAACAGTAAGACCGAGGACCAGCGCAACGAGGAGAAGGCGCAGCGCGAGGCCAACAAAAAGATCGAGAAGCAGCTGCAGAAGGACAAGCAGGTCTACCGGGCCACGCACCGCCTGCTGCTGCTGGGTAAGGGCGGGCGGGGGGCGCCGGCCGGCCCCGGCCCGGCCCGGCGGCCCCCGAGGGGCGCCCCGCAGGCCGCGCGCGCCGAGCCCGCCCCCCGCCCCGGGCGCGCGCTCCCGGGCCCCCCGCCCGTTCGCGGGCTCTGTCTGTGGGGGGCGAGGCCGGAAGGGGGACCCCGGGGAGCGGATTCGGCCGGGCGGGGGCTCAAAAACGGGGCGGGGGGCCGTGGCGACGCGGGCGCGGGACCCCCTCTCCCGGCCTGTCCGCTCTGTATGTCTCTCGCTCTCCCCCCACCTCTCTCTCTCCTCTTTTTCCGCGAGGCCTACACGACGCCAGGGGTTTGGGTGCGTGTTGGGAAGGGGGAGGGGGAGGCCCACGGGGCTCCGGAGACTGCGACAAAAAGAGGGTTTCGGGGACAGGAAATAGGGTGGCGGGCAGAGGGAGGGGGACCCGCCTCCGTGGGGTGTGAGATTTGTTGGGAGAAGGAAAGAGGGGAAGAAAGGGGCGAGGAGAGGAGGGGGTGACGCTGGGGGGCGCCGTGGTGGCGGAGGGGGCCTCGCCAAAGGGAGGCTTTGGCGGAGAGAAGTGGCCGAGGAGATTGGGGGGAGCTGGTGACATCAGCCCCTCGGAAAGGATCGGAGCGGTAAAGGTGGTGCAGTGAGGGGGAGGGGTCGCAAGGGAGTCGTGGCGCCGGAGTTGGGGGGGGAGGCAGCGAGGGGAGGAGGGAGGGCGGTTGCCGCTGGGCGCGACTTGGTGCGTTTCGGGCAGGACCGACTGTGTGTGCGCGGAGCAGACAGACGTGTCCCGGGCTAGGCCGGGCGGTGAAAGGAGAAGGAGAGTCAAATAAAATAAGACCACCCCCCACCACCAAAAAATAGATAGTACGAGAAGTGCCCAGTGAAGCCAAATGACACGTCATTTTACAGTATGACCTTTTTTTCCCCTTCCAGACTTGCAGGCTTTTTCAAAAGCAGAGCGGAGAATTAATTGTAGCAGCCCCTTCCCCCCCCCCCTCCCCGCCCGTAACACACACACACACACACAGACATCAAGCAGCGCCCCCCCAACACTATTTTAATAAACCATTAAAAAACACATTTTCCTGCTGGCTGGCCACATTGAGAGTGCTTTGTGAAAAGAAAAAACAAAGACATTTACAAATCAGATAAAACTGGAAAATGACATTTGTCTGTAAATGGCTTCTTGGTCTGGAAATGGCGTGGTTTTTCTTTTTTTTTTTTTTTTTTTGTCCTTTTCAAGGTGGGAGGGGGGATTGAGAGTGCTCTAAGGCGACTTCCTGCAGGTGGGAAGAGATTAAAAGACGTTAATTAGTTGTTGATCAAGTGACATTGAGTTGTTTGGTTTTGGGTTTTTCTCTTTTTTTGGAATGCGACTTTTCCTCTCTGGCAAAAAGAAAAAAGAAAGAAAAAAAGGTGGTAAACTATAAGGAAACGGCCTTCCCCCCCTTTTTTTTTCCCTTAAGGTGCTGTTTTGGGGGGAGGGATTTTAAATTACCAAAAGAATTACACAACATTAATTAAAAATGGAAGTTTTCCACTTTCTTGATAATTTAGTTATCTGAATAAATTTGTGAATTTGCTAAGTTAAGACCTCGTTCGTGGTCACATTTCAACAAAACTGCTTGATTATAAAGAATAAAATATAAAAGGCCGAGGTGGTTTTTCCTTTGATGGCTTTTGGTTTGTTCTTTTTGGATGGGTCATGACTTTGTTCTCCTGGGTCCAGATTTATAAAAGCAGAAAATTAAGTGAATATAAGTGTCTTTGGTGTTTATGCATTTGCAATATCAGTAATTAAATGGTACATGTGTTGCTGTCTTGTCTAAAACTTTTAAAAGCAGAATTGTGCTGTTGGGACATTAATATGCACATAACATGATTTCAAAGTATAACTCTGGAAAAGTCTAGAATCTTCTGTGAATGCTATCTGAATGCTGATTTAAGTCAAATGTGACGCTAATGGTATCTTTTAATTTAATCTAATGGCACCTTAAGTTTCCAACACCTTTTGTGCAGTGATCACAGTCTCACTTAATTTGAGACTGTTACTCAGAACACACCTTGCGTCACAGGGACTAATCTAAGTGTCCTAGTCTATATGACTACATTACATTATGATGTCTTGATGGCCTCTGGCCTAGGAATCTGCAGCCCAAGCCAGTGACACAACATTTTGCATTTTTAAATGGTGATTCTCACCAAAATAATGCCTCCCCCAAAAGAGGAAACCTAATAATGCCCCAAATCCTCTTTTTACTCCATCTTAACTACATAAAAATTAAGTGAATTAGAGAACTACACAGATCTTAAAATAATTTTTCAGCCACATTTCATAACTGTGGAAACTGAGGCTCGGATCTGTTTTTGCCTGTAAAAGATAGATGTTACGCAGTTTAACACTTCTGAAATTAGAATATTAGAGATCCTGCTGAATATTAGATGTTCTCTTCATGGCATCTCTTAATAGTGCCATTTATATTTTTAATTTATGAGAGTTAGGCTCATTAAGATAGAGTGTTTGCTTTGAAATCAATGTTTCTGTGGAAACTAACTTTAACTTTTACAGACATTGATTACGAGCTTGTGAAAAGGCAAGCGAAGGAGGAATGCTTTGTTATCTGGGCATTAAAACCAAACAATACAATTAAAATTTAAAAAAGAAAAAAGGGGTAAAAGGCAGATTTGTGTGGACAGAGGGCAAAAAACTGTTCACATGTGTATTATCTTGGAAATGTGCGTTACTAAAAAGGAGATGCAAAATAGCAATCCTTCTAGCTTGATGCAAATGTGTGTTTTTCATGAAACATGTATGTATTTTTACATGAAAGATGATTTAAAATGGTGGCATGTGTTCCTACTCTTTTAGTTGGGAAGGTCTTGGAATCTCTTTCAAAATCAGTAGTTCCCAGGGATAGTTTTCTTTGGATTAAAGTTTTGTTCTTGTATTACTTTTTACTCTTGTTGTTGCAGTTTACCTAATGCTAATAGGGTCTCAAGAACTGTATTTGATATTAAAATGTGTTTTTTCCAGAAGATGACAGATAATTGATTGTCTTCCATTTCCCTCAGCAACATAGTTGTACCCAGAGGGAATTTATCTTTAGAAGATATAGTTTGTGAGGGAAGAGGAGGGTGGAAAGGGGAAAAATGTAATGCAGTTTTAGGGGTGGATTTTTAAGTAGCCCAAGGGGTAGGAAACCTGCACAGAAAGAAGCTGCGTTGTGAAAATGTTAGCAAGGAAAGTGCTGCATCGCTACGTGATGTGGAAGAGACTGCGGTGTCTGGGCATTGTTGGGAATCCCGGGTATTTTAACCATGAAACATCTGACAACAAATTATGTGTCTAGATACATTTATGTGTGAATGTTCATGTATCAGGGATTCCGCTTCACAGTTTTAACTTCAGTTTTCTTGTTTACCCCTCAAATGACAAAATTGCGTCACTCCTTCTCTTTGCCCTTTTCCTTCACCACCCCAAAATTTTTTAAACAAGGGGGGACAAATTAAAATGAGCAAACCTTTAATTCTTGTTATTCTGATGGGGAAATACTGCAGGTAGACACTGAGATGGACTTTGATTTCCTTTCTCTGCATTGAAATGTCAAGGAAAATTGCAAGTCTCTGATTTTGTGTTTGTTTTTCTGCGTGTTGCTTCTATGGAAAAACAAAACAGCAGCAGCAGTCCTCCCTGCCCAAATTGTGTAAAATGCCTCCTTCATAACCTGCGACTTACTTTCATTTTCTAGGTGCTGGAGAATCTGGTAAAAGCACCATTGTGAAGCAGATGAGGATCCTGCATGTTAATGGGTTTAATGGAGAGTAAGTGTCAAATCTGTGCAGGGGCACCAAGTAAGAGGAACAGACTTGATACTGATCTTTAGGAAGTCTAGGGAGGCTTTGGGGGCTGGGCAGCCAGTTTTCACTTAATTTTTCCTAATTTACATATTAGAAAATCCTGGGAAGGGCTCTTTAGGATTCCCCCCCACCCAAATCATTGGTTCAACAAATACCACTACTACTGATGAAGCACCGGTGTTCATGCCAAACAGCTCCCTATCCCAAGAAAATCATGCCTGGTTGATAGCACTTGGCCCTGTGAGAGCCCCCTCTCTGGGTCAGTCAGGTCCCTGCCGCAGCCTCCAGACTGGCTGCAGTGTCTCCAATGTGGCTTTGGCTGCCACCCCCTTGTCCGGCCCATCCTGATCACTGCAGATTCACCCCACCCCACCCCAGGCAGGTTTCAATGTAATGTACCCACAGGGATGTTTTAAACTATTAGGGAAACATCATTTGAATAACAATCCCACCAGAAACAGATTTGGAAGTGGCAGCCCTTGTTTACAGTTACTCATTTTTTGCCCCCCCCTTCAATTATGGGCAAATCATTGTTTCCCTTTAAAACAAAAAACTAATCAGTACCCCTGCCTAAAGAAAAGAAAAAGGGAACATTTATTTGAAGGATGGAAAGACTGGGAGGTTAGGTACTCCCAGCCGCATTGAGGGGCATGTTTGCCTTTGAAAAGTCCTCCCAGGTATCCTGGCATAGGGCAGTGTGGCAGTCCCGCAGTGAGAATGATTAAACAGGAGAGAGTTTATATTAGACATGTGAGACAAGTTAGGGGGTCCTGCCTCGCATGAGGAATGCAAACAGGGAACATTCAGTAAATCAGGGAGCTTGCCTTTCTCCCCAAGACCCCACATGGGGCCTGCCCATCATTCTCGTGTAACAAAATGTTTAAAAAAAAAAAAATCCCAGAAAAAACTAAGTTTACCCGTCTCTCTTTTCACTGGTGTGATAGCGTTAACCATACTAGATTACAAGTACCTGAAGGCACTAGTTTGTAATTACTAGCTGGTTAGCACAGCCCCATTCCCTTTCTTAAACCTGGATTCAATTGAAAACTTAACCTTGAGTTGTATTGGCTTCCATTTGAGAAGGGGAGATGGAGTCAAGGTGGCAGCATTTAATTATACACCTCCCCCGCCACCAAAAAAAAAAAAAAACCTTTACTAGTCACGTAGCATCTGGGAAACAGGTGAATTTTATCACCTTTCAGAGCAAGGTTGGCAGCTTATGGATAATTCTAGAATTTGTTAGATCAAATAATTGTTTAGAAAAGGATGACATCACCCATACAAACAGTCATGTTAGTTTAGGATGCTTATTACACTTTAACCCTGAATTCTGAAAGATTGGTTGGGATGCAGAGGGCTGGGCTTCTTTACTAGTCTGATGACTCTCATGGGTGGTCAGTTTGCATATATATGCTCTTGAGTAAGTCAGCATCACTTGTCACCAACCAATTCCAAAATTCCTAATTCTTGACACACCCCTGGATGAAGCCCTGCCAGCGGAGACTGCCATCCTGACAAGAAATAAAAACCCGAGATAGACTTCCAACCGTGAATTTGTAATTTGAAGAAAAATCTTGCAGACATTTTCCCTCTGTAACTTGCAGGAGTACTTCTTCATGAGAGTAGTTCAGCAAAAATCATTTGACCATGTATCCTCTAAAGATTTTTATGGAAACTAGACATGGCTAGCATTTTTAAAAGGTGCAGGAGCCACTGTTTACCTTAGCTTGCTTCGATCAGAAGCTAAGTCACCTTTGAAATAAACTACTGGCAGCTTCATTACTCTATAGATTGCCCTGAAATTTAACAATTTTTATAGCAAGGATTCTCCTCCCTAAGTGAGCCAGCCTATAACACCAGGCAAGGGTTTTCAACCAGAACTTCTCTTTTCTGTTTTCTTTTTGGAAAGAGGAAGCAACATTCCCCGTTTGCCTTCTTTGCAGACAAGGGCATAGATACGTTAAATTTAGCCTGTGAAAGGGTTGATGGGGGTATTCCTCACGGGAGCCTAGATACCTTATTTTTATCTCGTCCAACTGCCTCTTTTTTTCTTTTTCCTCACTGCGGTACTGCAACAAAAGCTGTTTCCTTCTTAACTAGGAATTCCCTATGAGACAGTGACATCTGTCCCTAAAGGGTGGTCTGTGTGGGACAGGGTTTTTCCTGCTTGATCTTGCATTTTGTTAGGACTAGGCTGACCTATTAAATTTGCTTTAACTCTGCAGGCTGCCATACCGGTTAAATTTTTAAGAGTAAGATAATATTGATTTGACCTTCAGAAATAGAGATTGGATTTGGATTTTCCTAACTCAAAGCTAACTCTTTTTCTTACATTTAGTGACAGGAACAAAACAAAAACAAAACATAAACACTGTTAACATTGGTTGAACTAATTACTAAACTGTAGAATGCTGCCCTTCGGCCTTCAAGGAGGAATTCCTACTGTTTATGAAGATCGGGTTTGGGTTTTTTTTCTCCTTTTTTATGTGGTGGTAGGGGGTGGGGTTTTTGGTTCTTTTAAATTTTTTTGCTGCATCACAGGCCAGACATAGTTTAATGATAATTTATGGAGAACATTTATTTATAAATAAAACCATTTTATAGGTAGTTTTCCCCCACTGCAGGAAGTAAAGTCATCAGTTTTGCAGGAAATTACGGGCAGAAGTCTCCCCGGACTATGCCTTTGTGCCTTTAGGTACAACACTGTGAAGATTGTGACCTGGGAAAATTAGGAGCCTTATGCACTGCCGTGTTCTCTAAAGAATTTTGAGATAAATCACTGCTTTAGCTCCCTAATGCATGTACATTTAGTGAAAGCACAAGAAAATAATTATCCATCCCTCCTGTATCTGACCAGAGTCTCCAGAGAGCTCTGTTAATACTGCAGCAGAGGTGTGGGATCCTTCCCCCATGGCCTGCAGTCTCAGTAGACAGGCCAATTTAGACAGAAAGGCGACCTAAGAATTAATGGGAGGACGGATGGCGCGCGAATTGTTGCTTTTGCTCTTGGCTGATTGTCTCGGAATGTAGAAAGACTGTGTGGGGTTTGTGTGAAATTGCGGTGCCTTGCAGATTAGGTGAGCTTTCAATCTCTCTTTAAAAGGGGCGGCGAAGAGGACCCGCAGGCTGCAAGGAGCAACAGCGATGGGTAGGCACATTCAAAAACAGAAAAATTGTTTAACAAACAAAACAAACATGAAGATCATACTGGGAAACTGAGGCCAGAGACCCGGGAAGAAAATAAAAATCATTTAAAGGACCATCAGCCATATTGGCATACATTTGCAAATAATAGACCATTTCCTAACATTTTGGAGCAGGGAAAGTGCATTACAAATTTTTTGGCCATGCTTAAAGTAGAATGAGATCCAGCTTGGGGAAAGTTATAGATATCAGCTTTAGACAATCAGTTTAGGATTTTGAAAATTGATGTTTTTCCATATGGTTTCTATTTTCCCCTAGCGCTCCATTTGAACCAGCTACTTGTTTTTTAAACTGTCTACTAAATTCCATTAACCACTGGTTAGTCTGATTTTAAAATTTCAGACCTCTCTGAAACAAAATTTTTTCCCTTCTATTGAAATACGCTATGCTGCACCATCTTTAATTTTGAAAATGACTTGGTACCTTGCAGCAAGATAAGAATCATCTCGAAAAGCCTCTGGCCTTTTAAAAATGATCAAGTATATTTGAATCCAAGGCACTTTACGTTAGCTAGCAGATCAGGAAATTCATGGTGCCATCTATTCTTTTGCCATTCATCATCAAATTATTTTTTTCTTTGCTTCCTGCATCCCCACACCCATCACACACGCACACACATGACATGCATACACAGACACGCACACGCATACACAGACACGCACACACATGCACACGCGCCCCGCGCGCGCACACATGCATGCCAGGTGACCACTCTAGCTCTGCTGTGTATGTAGCATGCAGTGGTGGAGTGGCTATTTCTCATGAGAACATGCAGAACCATTGACTTAGCTTAGAGGATCTCAAAGAAACAGCTGCTGTGGCCGGGGAGGGGAGGGGCAAAAATATTGGGGTCTGGGGACAAAGTAACTGACACATGTTTGTTCATCTGTTTCTTTTAGAATATATTATCCCTAGATGATGGCTACAGTTTCTCATCTTCCCGGCTATGTCCTATCACAATTTGCATGCTGGAATTGCTTGGTCTTAGGAACTTCTAATAAGAATACTATTCTGTTGTCTTGGCGGGTGGGGGGGGTGGGGGGAGCGGGGAGGGGCCCCTACTACCTGACCTTGAACGATGATTGAAAAAAACAAAAAATGGACTGAAATCCTACATTGGCAGAAGTGTAGTATGACAACTATCCAACAAGTCATCTCTGTAAGAAATGACTGCCAATCTACTGTACCAAAAGTTGGCATTTGAGCAAAATATGACAAGTCCTTCCTTAGTGAGCAACCTGCTGTGTACTGGATGTTGTACTAAACCCTTGAACCCTACTAATACTTCACCTGCACATCTCTCTGTGACTGTTCTGCAAGTACATATAAGTATTAACATTCGTGATAAATAAAAATTCTCTGCATGTTTCAGCAATCCCTGTATCTCGCCTCTGTCTTCTGTCTTCCTTCCTTTGTCTGTCTTTTCCCACCAAACCACAAGGATAAGGTTGGAGACCTGAGTAGCCCCCCTCCCACCACCACTTACTTAGCCGAAGCCAGGGAGGGGAGGAGCTCTTAAAAACTGAATGCAGCTCATCTGCTTTATATATTGATGGGGGCGGGGCGGGGCGGGGGGGGGGCGGAGGAAGCACCAAGACCCTAAAAGTACTTCCAGCCCTAGCCCCAATTTTGTAGCCAGTCAGTTCTAGCTACTGGCATATATTTTGCCTTTGTTAAGTAGTTTAAAGACATCTAAGGAATTTTCTCTGAATTTCACAATCAACGTTTAAATTCATTAAGCAATAGTAAAAGTGATGATAAACCTGCCAACCCCCAGTATAATATCTCCATCTACATAGTAATTGCTTCAATGGAAGAATTTTATGTTTTAGTATTACACACCCGAATTAGATTTGAGATTTCTATTTTAGCTGTTTTATACTTGATATACTCCCACACCTATTCACATACGTAGATGAATACTGAACACGTTCTCAAAATATCCGTATTTTAAGACGGGAAGTTTTCCAATTATCATACTACTGCTTAGACCAAAATATCAAACTGAATGAAAGAAACTTGTTTCTGGAAATACTTTCTTCTTGCTGTATGTGGATTTGGATATTTAGTACCCAAATGTATCTAATTTTACTATTGTGAAACCTCAAAACCAAAGGTTAATAGCTTTCATTACTTATGAAATGGAGCCTCCTTTTAATGAATGGGAATAGATTTGTCCTTGGGGGTTTTAGGTAAATTCTGCATTCAAGAGTGAACATTGGGGACCATCAAACACATGTCCTTTTAATTTATAACATCGAAATAATTGATGTTAGACTGTAATACCAAGGCCAGAAATTCTTAAATTTAGAAATGAGCTTCGTTCGATTCTGCACATACAAAGCAGACAGTCCCACAGAGCGGTGAGGACTTGGTCCCTTTCACTTTATGGTGGTTGCTTTAAGAGTGTGGGGGCCCGAATCAGATTTCAGATTTGTGCACAAGGTCCGAAGCTCACCTCTCCCTGTCATCTGTGCTTCTGAGGTTCTCTGGACCTGTACCACTTTTACTTAAATGGCCCTGAGGGGATTCCTGGCACCATCTGTTCTGCCTCCCTTCCCCAGACACCCACCTCCACTAATGAGCATGGCCCCTCTGAACTCTGCCAGCTCTTCAGTGTAGAAGAACAGTGGCTCGGAGACCTGTGAAACCTCCCTCAAATAAGTACGCAGACGTTAATTCAGAAGGAAATTCGGGAGTAGAGTTCTTTGAGAAAGGGAAGACCACATTATTTATGGAAGGCCTGTGGGCAGGCTTGCACTTGACCCCACCATCCATCCCCTCCCCTCCTTCCCCACTGACCGCCCTGCCCTGCTCTGCTCATTCACTGTTTCTAATTAACCTCCCTCCTCCTCTTCTCTACCTTGACTTTGTCATGTTCTAGTCTGGAGGGAATTATATGTTTAATTTCTACCTCCATTCTATGAATTGGCGCATCAGCCAAGTGAATGCTTCAAAAACTGGGAATCTCAAAAGATTAAAAAAAAAAAAATACAGTGAAAAAGATAAACTTTATTCCCTGTATCTCCCACCCCCATCAGTTTCTGCCTCTGCAAATCAAGGCTCCCCCCCCCCCCCCCGCCCCGCGCCTCATTTTCCCCATCAGAGAGGCAGGACCATAGCACTTTCCTTCTGTACAACAATGCTCTCACCTCCCAGGGCCTAACAGGTACAGCAGGTGTGCTGGGTGTGCTGCACATTTTTGGGCTGTAGACCTGGTGAGACACTCCGAGAGGCCCTTTCTTGCCCCCCCTAAAAACACAAACTCCAGAACCTTCCCTGGCTGTGCTTATATTAGAAGGCTAGTTTCTGAAAGACATACGGCATTTGGATCAGTGTAATCTGGTACAAAAATTAACATTAGGGTCCCCAGAAGCCAGAGGGTGTGGCCTTTACCTGTAGGACCAGTGACCCTGAATATAGATCATTCCGTAAAGACCACACAGGCCATCCCATTTGTCCGAGATAAAGTCAAGGAAAAGCTACAAAACCTTCAACCTCTACTTACCAGAGGGATCTGGCCCCTTCCCCCATAGAGTATAAGAACATCTAGGGGGTGGAATCTTATTTGATACCTATGCACATGGACCAACATGCACTAATATCATAAACTAGAAAGTTCATTGCTGCTAGTTGAGCGCCCGGAGCAGCACACCTGTGACTTGCTGCAAAGCCCTGAGACCTGTAATGAACCATTTTTTTCTTTGAGATGGAGTCTCAGTCTTTCGCCTGGGTTGCGGTGGTGCAATCTCTGCTTACTGCAACCTCCACCTCACAGGTTCAGGTGATTCTCCTGCCTCAGTTTACCCAGTAGCTAGGATTACAGGCACGTGCCACTACATCCAGCTAATTTTTTATATTTTTAGTAGAGATGGGGTTTCACCATGTTGGCCAGGCTGGTCTGAAACTGCTGACCTCGTGATTCACCTGCCTCAGCTTCCCAGAGTGCTGGGATTGCAAGCATGAGCCATGGCACCTGGCCCTTTTTTTATTTCTCCCAGACGGTCTTGCTCTGTCATCCAGGCTGGAGTGCAGTGGCATGATCTAGGCTCACTGCAACCTCCACCTCCCTGGTTTAAGCAATTCCCCTCCCTCAGCCTCCCGCACCCTGTAGCTGGGATTAGAGGTGCATGCCACCAAACCTGCTAATTTTTTTGTATTTTTAGTAGAGATGGGGTTTCACCATGTTGGCCAGACTGGTCTCAAACTCCACACCTCAGACAATCTGCCCTATAGGCGTGAGTCACCGAGTGCCCAGGCCCCTGTATTGAACTATTACTAACACCAGTACCTGTGCTCACTGGTTCTCTCAGTATGCTAATCTAGCAACTGAGTGAATTTTACATCAAAATAGGGGACTGTTTTGCTCCACTGCAAACTCTTAGTGACCTGTCATTTCAGCCTCACCCCTACCCAGATGCTGACAGGGTCAGAAGTGTTAGTATGTAGTATGGGGCTTCAAGCCCATGGGACCACCTGAAAGAGTCGGTGACCTGTGTGCAACTTTTGGTACAGTCATGATTGCTAAGGCAGTTTGCTCATCTGTCCCATTGGGCATGTCCTCCGGACACATTTGGGAGGTTACAATTTGCAGCCATGTCTATTGAGCTACCTCCAATCTTTGCACAGATCTGAACCCACAACTCCTTGAAGAACAGAATACTATGCTTTGTAGTCGGAATATCTTTATGCAAGCAATACTCTCAATTGACACGATGCAATATGATTTTCTTCTTTTTTCAATCCCACTGCAGTGAGAAGGCAACCAAAGTGCAGGACATCAAAAACAACCTGAAAGAGGCAATCGAAGTACGTGCTGGCTCCTTGCACTTTCTGTCTTACAGCCCCTCCCAGCCAGTACTGCTCCCTGACCACTTTGCTCAATCCTTTTCAGACCATTGTGGCCGCCATGAGCAACCTGGTACCCCCTGTGGAGCTGGCCAACCCTGAGAACCAGTTCAGAGTGGACTACATTCTGAGTGTGATGAACGTGCCTGACTTCGACTTCCCTCCTGTAAGCTACACCCCGACTTATGTGGCCTGAGATCCACTCACCTGAGCATAGTGTTCCTCTAAGAACATCAGTGACAGCCCTGCACATGGGCAAGAGTGTTCAAACCACACCTCAGGCAAAACACATTTCAGTGACATCCATCACAAATAAACATCACTCTTTAATATTACAATCTCATTTTATTAGATTGTAAATGTTTAGGAGGAAAATAGTTCCTGAGCTACGGTAGGCTTAATTATTCACATCTTAGGACAAACAAACCTGTATGTTAAATACGGTGCACAAATACTAATTGTCCATTTACTCCACTGGAAGTGCCCTAAGTTCCCTTGGGATGCCTCAGTGAAGTGCCAAATGGGAGACATTCTCATTTTAAACAGGTGACCTTTTCATATTTATTAAGAGTTTCCTAAAGTCAGTCCTGGTCTTTGGGCAAATGAAATCTTTTCTCATTATTAAAAAAATGTTTAAATATATCTAAATTGTAATTCAAAAATACATCATAAAATAGAACACATGGAAAAGACTTTCCTCTGGATGCATGACACCATTGGCTCCCTAAAGAACTATTTTTAGGGAACAAAAAAAACCGTTCAAGCCCAAACATATACGTCTAGGCCCCTTCTTGGGGAGAGTGGCTTATAAGCAGGGAACTGGAAAGATGGATGCGTTTGTAAGGCCCACAAGGAAGAGACTTGTCTACAGCGAAAACAATGAGTTACTGTTTCCTTTTGTCAGGCTTTCGTGGGAATTTGTGTTTGTATATTTTAGATGGACTTGGCTGCAAACTTACATTAGCAGAGAAATTAATAGTATTCAGTTAGTATAGATAGCTAAATTTTTTAAAATAGCATTATTTTGAAAAAAGCAGTAAACAATATGTATAATATAACCCACTTTCATGAAATATGATTCTATATTTCTAATAGGAAAAAGGACACATCGCCTATTAAACATGTATCAGAACAATAACCTTTTATTAGTCCTACCAACATCTGAATGGTTGTGTTCCTTCTTACAAATCCCCCAGTTTTTGTTAAGAGTCACATTTTCCCAGAAGGGAAATTTAGTCCCAGCACATCTTACAAATGAAGTTTCTTGTTTTCACAGCATTGAATCACTTATTAGCATATTCTCCTAACACAGATAGTGTATGTTCTTCCTAAACAATTCTGTGAAGAAAGTAAATTATTCGGTAGTTTACCCTACCACCCCCCCACAACAAAATAACAGAAGAAACTACCTAAAACCAGCAATTCACAATAAGAGCAGCAGCTAATTACGTGAACTTTTCAATGTGTTTAACATGTTGAATTAAAGTTCTTTGTGAGCATTCATTCATTCACTGGACTCAAAATTCAGAATCACACCAAGTGTTGGTCACATAGGGAATTCTGGTCTCAGGGTTCGAATGACAGCATTCTTTATTAGTTCAAGGTCTTGTCTTTCTCTAAACTTTCTTGTGTTCACTTTCAGGAATTCTATGAGCATGCCAAGGCTCTGTGGGAGGATGAAGGAGTGCGTGCCTGCTACGAACGCTCCAACGAGTACCAGCTGATTGACTGTGCCCAGTAGTAAGTAACACTGGCCCCACCCGTCAGCATGTAAAATAAGCAGAAATGAGAAGACATGAAAACCTGTGATTCCTGCTTGGACAGTTACTTGTCAATGATGCCTTTCCTAGAAGCCAACCAGTTATCCTACGGGCAGAAAGTTCTAGTCTGATTCAATTGTTTATAAAGTCCTTAATTGCATTTTTTTTTTTTAGTGCAGTGACATTATTTTATATAAACATTTAATGCCCATTAGAACAAAATGGTGATTAGTTTCATAATATTCATAATTAGTGGGAAGTAATTAATTGAATTGACCCCCAAGCATTTAGGAAAATAGGGCAGCTCTCACATTTTAAATAATTTAAACATACTATATTTTATTGCTGTAATTTTAAAACATAACAAAGGGGAATGGTGAAGACAGCTGTGCCTCCTCTCTCCTTGGTAGTTGTTGATTGCTCTCTTTCTGCTCTCAGGTAAGCGACTCTAGTAGCTGCCTAGTATTACTAGATCTTAGTGACTTTAGTTAGACTTTATTTTCATGTTGTCTTGACTTTTGAACTCTTTCATATCCTTATTTATTCCTTCACACCGGGTCTTGATTCAAGGATGGTAAGTGGTCAGTGGATTTTAAGTCCTAAACTGTACACCTAAGCAATACAGTACCGTGGTGGGGTTATTTTCAAATAAAACAAATTATTGCCGGCAAGGAGGGCAGGTGAAGGCCTGCAGTAGCGATGGGAAAGGCATCTTTCTCCAAAGTCACTCACAAGGTGGGCTCACCTGATTAGTGTGCTGATAAATGAAGAAAGGAAATTAGAAAACAGATTGTATTGCACAAAAACAGATTGATGCCCAAGCTGCTACCCCTGTTGCCTCACACCTGACTTACCATTCCCTCAGGGACCACCCTCTGTCCCTGTCACCCTCTCCCAGAGGACATCACACCCCATAGCTAGAAAGTTGCTTTTTAAAGTTTATGGCCTCCCTCATCCTGTACATGATATAGCAAGCATATGGTAGTCAGGGTTACTAAAAAAAAAAAAAAAAAAAAAAAGGAAAGATGTCTTTTGTTTGTTGATACTGTACAATGCACAAAGCAATCTCAGTTAATAATATTCTGAAATAGGAATGTCCTGTGACTTCAGAGTCTAGTAGAGGTTTGATGTTTTAGCTATCCTTATTACAAGTAGTTGAATTTTGGAACTGGTTTTACTATAGGAGGTATTAACTCATTGGAACCGAGGTGCCAGGGTGACTCACCAAGGGCTAGGATTGCTTTACTTAGTAGCCCCAAGCCCAAGGAACTGGTTGTGAAAATTACTTGAATGAGCAGGAGGGAGGAAGAGGTGGTACTGTTCATCTATAAATCATACAAGCTTACGTTAGGTTCTGCACAATCTATCTATCTATCTTACCCCAGCCCTGCCTTCCCATAGGAAATATCTTTAATTATTTTCAATTGTCACATACATAGATATTCCATGGCTTAATATACAAGCAAATTTGTATATTTTTTCAAGGAATAGAAAAACAGTCCATCTTGGTTGGTCCCTATGACCCCCAGCCCCCATTCCTTCTACAACAAAGTCCCTGATTTTCTCAAAAGTTTGAACTAAAAGCTGGAAGCGCTAATTATAGTAACACAAAACAAATGGAAATCCTGGAATTGTTTGCGTTTTGTATTTTGGATCCAAGTCAGAAGTTAAGTACAGGTACAAGATTAGGCGAGTTTAACCGTCCCAGTTTTGAATGCTGGGGGTGGCAGGGAGACACAGTTTCATTAATTAACAGTAGTTTAGCCAGGTTGTTGAATTTTGTTGGATTTCGTTTTCTCTCTCAAAACATTTAAAAGATTTTGGTTTTTTTTTTTTTTTAAGCAACACTTAATTACTCTTGAAACTTTGTCTGAAAACTGTACCATTTGCATAGATGGTGAAAAGTTTTAAGGAAACTCAGAGAAAAAGAGAACAACGCAGCTTAAAAGTTTTAAAATGTCCTCCCTCCCCAGTGGCCCAAATAGCCCCGCATCTGCCGTGGCCGGCACGTTTCTGGTTGAACTGCCTTTGCGTTAAAGTTGAGACGCTGCTACCGTGCCCATTTCTTAAGCTGCCTATTTTTATTTGTTGAGCTGGGGTTTGGCTGGCTCCACTCCAGATGTCTCTCGCACAAGATTTGGTGCTGATGAGCTATTTATAGAACTGTGGTTCTGTTGCCATGGTAACATGCTGGAGGCCAGGGCGGCTGGGGAGCTATTTCTGGACTGGTGCTGTAATGTAAGATTGATTGGGCAAGTTAGTATATCCTCTAAGCCAGACTAACTCTGAACTAGTAAAAAGGAAGAGGGGAACACAAAACTTAGGGAGTGTCTTTAAATAGACTTTTCTCTCTTGATGATTTTCTTTTCTCATTAGCCCACTTTAAAACAATTCCAATCTCTATGTGCCCTTCCTTCCAAAAGATAAACTGGTTTTAACATTTTCTATATTAATTAAATTACCCCACTCTTTCAAAAGTAAACTTTTCTGTGTGTCCAATCAAGCAACACAAACAAGATGATTTTTGTTTTAAAGGAAAAGCTTAGTATCTGGAGTGTTCTATTTCATGGACGAAACAGAACGGAAGAGAGCTTCGTGTTTGTTTCCTGTTCAGGATGGTTAGGGCAAGAAGGGCCCCTTTGTGCCAGTCTCTTTTGTTCTCTTTAATCAATGAGATTCTTAAAAAGTAAAAAGGAAGGGATCCAGATTCTGAGTAACTAAAACAATCTTGTGTGCCCTTGAGGGGAAAGTCCTTGATGCTTTTAAGTATGTCACTTTATTTTGTTTTAAACTGATGATATAGAGATACACAGTTTTCAAACTGTTTGCCATTTTAGTCAAGCAATTTGAAAATTAAAGTGTTTTTGTCAAGCATTGCCAAATGGCACAGAATGTGATAGGCCAGCCTGGTTTTGAGGTCCTTTCTCTATTGGTTGATATGCATAAAACCTTTTAAAAATCAAGAATATTACCAGAGAGCAACAGGAATAAACAAGCTAAGTAAAGAATAAAAAAGAGAAATAGAAAAAAATAAAAATGAAAAAGCCCCACCACTGTCCTGTGTTGTTTGTGTGGCCCCACTGCGCCAAGGTCACAGGCTAGCTGCTAGACACATCTGTAGTTCCTTGATTCCTAAAATTATCTCAAATCCTATTTGCCCTAACCTCCTTAAGGCATCAGCTTTGAGTCATAAATGTAACCAAAGCACAAGCAAACGGGCCATTGACTTAGTGCTGTGTAACTTTGGGACAGTCATTTCTGTTGAGCCTGACTTTGTAGAGAGATATAAATAAATAAATAGTTGGCAAATTGCTGTGAGTGCTGTGAACACCCCTCATGTCTGTCTTTTTCTCCCAGCTTCCTGGACAAGATCGATGTGATCAAGCAGGCCGACTATGTGCCGAGCGACCAGGTGTGCAAAACCCCTCAGCACCAGAGCACTCTTTCCAAACCACTGCAGACTCTCTTGCTTCAGATTGCCAATTACTGCTCTTTCAGTTGGCTTTGGTAAGATGCACTGACCTCAGTTTTGTTCTAGGACCTGCTTCGCTGCCGCGTCCTGACTTCTGGAATCTTTGAGACCAAGTTCCAGGTGGACAAAGTCAACTTCCAGTAAGCCAGCTGTTACCTTTTTATACAACAGAGATCAAAGTTTCTTGACATTGACCCCAGGCCCTCTGGACTAACCAGCTGTCCTCTTCCCCGCCAGCATGTTTGATGTGGGTGGCCAGCGTGACGAGCGCCGCAAGTGGATCCAGTGCTTCAACGGTAGGACGGACACTGTGGGCTTGGCTGCTGGTGAAGAACGCTTTGCTTCTGTGTTGTTAGGGATCAGTGTCACTGCTCACGCTCATGGCTTTGCTCTCTTTGGTTAAGATGTGACTGCCATCATCTTCGTGGTGGCCAGCAGCAGCTACAACATGGTCATCCGGGAGGACAACCAGACCAACCGCCTGCAGGAGGCTCTGAACCTCTTCAAGAGCATCTGGAACAACAGGTTTGTGGAATGACAGCCCACCCCCTGTCCTTGCCCAGGAGGCCCTGGCCCGCATTCCAGACCCCTGGCCCAAAGCCTGCTTCTCCCAGGCATTCACACAGGCTCCCTCCTTGCAGATGGCTGCGTACCATCTCTGTGATCCTGTTCCTCAACAAGCAAGATCTGCTCGCTGAGAAAGTCCTTGCTGGGAAATCGAAGATTGAGGACTACTTTCCAGAATTCGCTCGCTACACTACTCCTGAGGATGGTATGTGTGGCTTCCACTCTTGCTGGCTGTTCATTGCAGTGGTTCTGAAAACCCTCACCCCGCTCCTACTGATTCTCATATGGAAAAATCAGAGTTTTGAAGAGTTAAGGAGCTACCATGATGTTAGCACCCCAGCTCTGCTTGAACTTCTAATTAATACACGTTCCCTTTTTTAATAGCTACTCCCGAGCCCGGAGAGGACCCACGCGTGACCCGGGCCAAGTACTTCATTCGAGATGAGTTTCTGGTGAGTTGAGCCTGTCTTTAGTTTTCGCTCTTGCTCCTCCTCTTTTTCTCATGGATATAAATTTACTTAATTCCAAATTGAGGGGTTCAGCTACCCAGTTCCACTGTTTTAGTTCACACACATCCAGTGTGGGATTGAGTTCTCTGCGCCTCTCCTTTTGCTTTTGTCTTAATATGACATCAGAGGCTAGCCAACAGTCATCCCTGGTGGTGGGTGTCCCCACTGGTGATAGGGTTGTTCCTGGAGAAAGTGTCACTGACGAGTCCCTCTGTTTGTGCCCGCAGAGGATCAGCACTGCCAGTGGGGATGGGCGCCACTACTGCTACCCTCACTTCACCTGCGCTGTGGACACTGAGAACATCCGCCGTGTGTTCAACGACTGCCGTGACATCATCCAGCGCATGCACCTTCGCCAGTACGAGCTGCTCTAAGAAGGGAACCCCCAAATTTAATTAAAGCCTTAAGCACAATTAATTAAAAGTGAAACGTAATTGTACAAGCAGTTAATCACCCACCATAGGGCATGATTAACAAAGCAACCTTTCCTTTCCCCTGAGTGATTTTGCGAAACCCCCTTTTCCTTCAGCTTGCTTAGATGTTCCAAATTTAGAAAGCTTAAGGCGGCCTACTGAAAAAGAAAAAGGAAAAAAAAGGCCACAAAAGTTCCCTCTCACTTTCAGTAAAAATAAATAAAATAACAGCAGCAAACAAACAGAAACAAAATGAAATAAAAGAAACAAATGAAATAAATATTGTGTTGTGCAGCATTAAAAAAATCAAAATAAAAATTAAATGTGAGCAAAGAATGATGGGACTCCTGTGAGTTGTTTGCGGTTCGGAGCAAATACCCGTGGGTCATGGTTTTGACTCAGTTCTCACATCAAAAGTTGGGAGGCCCCAAGGTGAAGTGGGTATAAAATCTCACTACTGTATGTTTTCCTTCCTTCCGTCCTTCTTCCTTCCTTCCTTCCTTCTTCCTTCCCTCCGTCCCTCCCTCCTTCCTTCCTTCCTTCCCTCCCTCCCTCCTTCCTTCCTTCCCTCCCTCCCTCCTTCCTTCCTTCCTTCCTTCCTTCCTTCCTTCCTTCCTTCCTTCCTTCCTTCCTTCCTTCCCTCCCTCCCTCCCTCCTTCCTTCCCTCCCTCCCTCCTTCCCTCCTTCCTTCCTTCCTTCCTTCCTTCTTCCTTCCTTCCTTCTTCTTTCTTTCTTTTTCTTTTTTTGAGACGGAGTTTCACTCTTGTTACCCAGGCTGGAGTGCAATGGCGCGATCTCGGCTCATCGCAACCTCTGCCTCCTGGGTTCAGGCAATTCTCCTGCCTCAGCCTCTGGAGTAGCTGGGATTACAGGCATGCGCCACCATGCCCAGCTAATTTTTTGTATTTTTAGTAGAGACGGGGTTTCACCGTGTTGACCAGGATGGTCTCGATCTCTTGACCTCGTGATTCGCCCGCCTTGGCCTCCCAAAGTGCTGGGATTACAGGCGTGAGCCACCGCGCCTGGCCACTACTGTATGTTTTCTTACAGCCTCAGACCTAAAGGCCATAAGGGGGTTGGGGGTGACTACAAAAAAGGAAAATCACACTTGAAATTTGAATGGGGGAAGGGCCTGGGGTGGGTAGAAATCTAACAAAGGGTTGACTCCCCTAATAAGCAAAGACTTCTTATAAATTAATAAGCAAAACCATCAGAAAAATGGGCACAGTATGTAAGCATGCAACTTAAAAGATATGCAAATAGCTAATAAAACTGGGGATATGTGGAATATCACTCATAATAAAAAGCAAACATTCACCATAATTGAGAGTGGGGATAGAGGTCTACACTCATGGGTTGGAGTGTGGCTTATATCTGAGGTTCTGGGGTTCCCTAGTCTTTCACCCCTAGGCTTATCATCCAAGCTGTGGTCACTTATGTGGTCACTTCCTGGGTGGCTCCCAGGAAGGGTGGGAGGAAGAGACCAGCATCAAGGATGGTGCCCTCTGAAGCTGGCCAAATGGGACTTCAAGTTCATTCTGTAATCCAGGCCCCAAATCTATTTCCCATTCTACTTTCCAGATCAGATTACTCTCACCCAAGTTAATCATACAGTGTAGCTCACAGAGGTGAGCAATGAGCTCCAAAGGGGGCAGAAAGTAGCAAATACCTGCATTTCCATCAAACTTTTCGCGTAACGTTCAGTCCACATGTGCTTCCTATGCAATTTTTAGTACAAAGCCCTCAAAAGACCCCCAAATAAATACACAATCCAAACAAAAATTGGGACTTGCTATGCAAATATAGCCAAAAGACCAGCCCACAAGTTTCCATAATCCTCCAAAGCACCCCAAATAAACACACCTAAACCAGGACAGCGGCTATCAAGTGCAACCGCAAGACCAGCCACACATTCATCCCGGTAAAGGTACTCAGTGAGAATCGAGGTTGAGCCCCAGCCCCTATTCCAAGATGGCCACCTGTATGCTGCTTTTACATAGAAATTCTGTAATCTTCGCATAATGCACATGAGATTGTCACAGCTCTGGCCACGTATCCATCAAAATTAGAAAACAAAATTCCCAGGCCATAGGGCAGTTATGGCAATGAAAATGATACGCCAGAATGCCACTTTGTTGGTCATAAGTGACATAGACTTCATGGTATCTTCTAGAAGGGCCACAAGTTACAGTTTTCAGGCATCTACTAGTGCTAGCCATTGCCCAGTGGGATAGGTTGAGCTGCTTTGTCAGTGAGGCCCAGAGAGGCCCCAACAGAGGTCTCTACTGAGCTGGGAAGATAAGCTTCAAACTCAAGTAGCCAAAGCCTACTGCCTGGTCCCTACAAGATGCTGTATCTTGCAGAGACCTGGTAGTAGGCTTTGGAGAAAAGAAGAAGAGATCTCCTGGTGTTCTTCCCATGACATCAGTTATCAGGAATCCATGACCTGTGACCCCTAGCAAAAGTCCTATAGGTCACCATGGGGTTCCATACCCAGGGGGTTGGGTGGCCTCGTCCCACAGACCATGGCACTGGCCATACTCCTGCCTCCCTACCAGGTCAGGGCTTTGTCCCTACTAGTTCCCCTGTTGTGTTTGAGACTCGCTTCCCTATGTTAAGGTTCGTCATTGCTATTTAAAACATTTGGTTTCCCTTTTCCCTTTTACCCTGGTATCAAGCAAAACATTTTTGGTTTTTTTTGGAGATGAGTTTTGCCCTTGTTGCCCAGGCTGGAGTACAATGGCGCTATCTCAGCTCACTGCAACCTCCGCCTCCTGGGTTCAAGCAATTCTCCTACCTCAGCCTCCTGAGTAGCTGGAATTACAGGATGTGCCACCACACCCAGCCAATATTTATAGTTTTCTATAAAAATTAGAGACCATGTTGGCCAGGCTGGTCTCGAACTCCTTACCTCGTGATCCACCTGCCTCAGCCTCCCAAACTGTCGGGATTACAGGCGTGAGCCACCACTCCCAGCCATCAAACAAAACTTCTACAGAGCTATTTTAAAATCTAAATTTTAAGATCTTCAGAAAACAAAAAATTATAAAGAATTTTACTAATCTTTGATTACAATAAGCCATTATTTCAAAAAAAATTTTAATATGATTTTAAAACCTCTATTCAAGTGCAAAACAACCTATTTTTTTAAAGGTAAAAATTTGCACCACACTTCATAGAGATGTGTAAGCCAAATATTATAAATGACTATTCATGAATTTTGGGATTGAATGTGATAATAATAAACCATTAGGCCCCCCACACGCAATGTGAGAAGGGCCTAGACTTAGAATTTTTATTTACTTCCACTTTTCCTTAAACATGCACAGAATTATGCTCCCCAAAATGGCCACATCTGCAATAGCCCTTCTACGTAGGCCATGGCATCCTCTTACTATAATGCTTTCTTGGATGGTTTTGGTCATCTTTTGACTCAATAAATACATAGAGACTATGAGATCTATGCCAGCCAGAGGGAATTCTGCTCTCATGGGGTTCATGTTCTAGCGAGGGAGACATACACTTGCTAAATAAATAATAAAAAGAATTACAGTTGGTTACAAAATCTCTGAAGCAATAAGCAGGATGGGGGCAGTGAGGAATGGGAGGTATTTGAGGAGGAATTTCACTTTAGATAGAATAGCTGGGAGGGCCTCTCTGATGTGGCACATTTTCTTCGGAGAATGTAAATGATGAGAAGAAGCCAGCCATCAAGTATTAATAGCTAACATCATTATTTAAATTTGTTATTAAAACATAATAATTAACAGTCAGGCATGGTGGCTCATGCCTGTAATCCCAACACTTTGGGAAGCTGAGGTGGGCAGATCACCTGAGGTCAGGAGTTCGAGACCAACTTGGCCAACATGGTAAAATCCCATCTCTACTAACAATACAAAAAATTAGTCAAGTGTGGTAGTGGGTACCTGTAGTTCCAGCTACTCAGGAGGCTGAGGCAAGGAGAATAGCTTGAACTGGGAGGCAGAGGTTGCAGTGAACTAAGATTGTGCCACTGTACTCCAGCCTTGGTGACAGAGCGAGATTCTGTCTCAAAATAATAATAATAACACTTATGAAGGACTTTACCATGTGCCAAGCACTGTTCTAGACTCTGTATATGAATGATCTCATTTAATCCTTTCAAAGCCCTATTAAAATGCAACCCATAATCTGTACAACAGGTCCTATCCCATTGTGCAAATGTTAGCTCAAACATTAAAAAGGTAAATGATATCCAAAGCATTGCGAATAATTTAAGCAAATTATGCTTTTAATAAAGGTTACACTAAAAAAGTCATTACAATAAGCACTTAAGTAATTGCTATACATGTTCCTATTTAAGAGTTGGAGGACTTTGCATCTCTAGAATAATTTTCCCACATTAAAAAATATGTATGCTATGAACAACAAAAGTCTTCTGATTTTGCCTATTTTATGTACTGTATCAGTTAGGAATGCATTTAGCTGCAAGTAACAGAATCCTGACCCAGAATGGCACAGGCAAACAGAAATTTGTATCCAGTTACCAAGAATTCTAGAGGTAGGTGGTCCCTGTTATTTCAGCAGTTCATCAATGACAGGACTAATGTGTCCACAATTCTCTTGGCTTCTCTCTCATAGTTGCAAGATGGTGTCACAGTACAACTGAAGGCAGAAGAGAGAGGGGAGAGACAGTTCAACCAAACCTCTTTTGTCCTCTTTTGTCAGTCTTTTGTAGAGGCCTCTTCATTCACTTTTCACCATGTGAAATACATATAGATATCCAGCTACTTATGTATATATAGAAATGTAAAAGTAACAGAAAAGTATCTCTTTCTTCTTTCTTTCTCCCTCCTTCCTTCCTTTCCTCTCTCCCTTCCTCCCATACTTCCTCCCCTCTTTCCCTTCCTTTCCCTTTTTCCCTTTCTCCCTTTCTCTCCTTTCTTTCCTTTTCTTTATTTCTTGAGTCTCACTCTGTCGCCCAGGCTGGAGTGCAGTGGTGTGATCTTGGCTTACTGCAACCTCCACCTCTCGGATTCAAGCGATTCTTCTGCCTCAGCCTCCCGAGTGGCTGGGATGACAATGCCCACCATAATGCTCAGCTAATTTTTTGTATATTTATTAGAGATGGGGTTTCACCATGTTGGCCAGGCTGGTCTCAAACTCTTGACTTCAGGTGATCCACCCTCCTTGGCTTCCCAAAGTGCTGGGATTACAGGCATGAGCCACTGCACCCAGCCAAGAGGGATTTTATAATGTCCCGTTTTATATACCTTGATGGAACTTCTGAAAAAAATGTATCCAATGCCTATAGTTTTAAGGCTTAGGGAAGATAATGAGGGTGGAGGGGATAAAAC